TGACAAGCCTTCTTTAAAATGAGTTTCTAAGTCAAAGGCTGTGCTCATCTTCATCCTGAGAATTTCTTGGCTCTCTAGAGAACTTGAATCTTTTTTTCCTCATTGCTGTCTGCTTCCTTTGACTTGTCATAAGCATTTAAAAAATCGTCTGCAACTTCTAGACGTCTGCAACACTGGAGTGGCTTGCTGGTAAGGAATCATGCTGGCATCTCAAAGGCACGTGGTTTGAATCCACCAGAGTAAGATGGTGTGCGGTCTCCTCCCATGTGACTTATGGCCTCTGAAAACCCGCTGGAGGGTCAGCTGTGGGTTGGTTCCAACTTGATCGCACAGAACAATAATAATGAATCTCAGACACTGACTTCTTAAGTATGTGCATGTACCTCATTTATTTATAGGATGTAAAGAAGGGTTTTATTGATTGGGTCCTCTGCCCCTCCCCCGCCCCAGTATTTCTGTACTAGATGCTCTCCCATCTTGGAGAGTTTAGACTGAGGCATATGAATAGTTAGTTCATCAGTGGGTTGTGACTCTGGAAATCTGGGATCTCTTTCACTAAAGCAGCTCTTTTGTTGGTGAAGCTGAAAGGAAATCTTCCCCTTCCTCCCTGTTGTTTGGCCTCTATTTTTATAAGAAATAGAAAAATATGGCATTTTTAGGGTTTTAGAATAACGACATAAGTAATTAACTGGAGATTTATTTATTGGAGAGGAACAGGAATGATCAGCAGTGAGCAGCCTGACCTTGGCCCGCTCAGATGTCAGGGGACTTGACTGATGTGCACAGCATAAAAATTGGCAAGCTTTGACAAAAGAGGCATCTAAGACCATTCAGCATTCTGAGACTATTCCAGGAGTAGAGGAAGCCTTTTCATTTTTGTAAGGTTCTTCTTTGACCTTTGGACCATGCTGGCTTTGGAAGAATTCAAGATCTTCCTAATGGTTCATGGTGCATTTGCAGTACCAAACAGGATGATTTATTCAGAAATCTTTGTAATTATATTTGTTCAGAAACCTTTAGTAAATTGATGCCAGGATCTTACATGCAGAACTTTTCACTGAGAAACTCAGATTTCAGAACAGCCGGGCCTCATGGTTTAGATACAGAGAATCTCTTCAAGTGCCTCCGGAGAACCAAATGTTGGATTGCTCTTGTGCCATTGTTATGCCGGCTCATGGCAAAGAAGAGCATGTCACGATACCTGCTTTTTCCTTAAGATTAATACACCATTTTCATTCTTCTTTCGTTTTCACTGTAAGAAGACTGGACTTCGTATCAGGGCCTCTCACTTTCGTTCAGTGTAACTTTTGTATCCCTGTGTGTATAATGTCCAGTTTCAGTTGTTTAAGTCTGTGTCTTTTCCAGTGCATCAAATCCCATTGTATTTCACGGGCTTGTAAAAATGGACATTTGGTGCAGAGGAAGTAGAAGATTTGACTATCATTCTCTTTTGCTGACCCTCTGTGTTTTCCAAAATGATTGCTTTCCCTGGAGACTGGCCCAGAAAATCCCTTCTTTCTACACTTGATCGTAGCCAAAAGGCGGAGAAGCGATAAAATCCATTCTTTCTGAAAGCCACTCTCAGTTCCTGGCATCTGCCAGCAATCTTCAGTAGTCCCTTGCTTGGAGAGAGGTCTTCCCACGGTGGTACCTTGTGTGTGTGTGTGTGTGTGTGTGTGTGTGTGTGTGTGTGTGTGTGTGTGTGTGTGTGTGTGTTTGCATGTATCTGTGGGCATTCTGCTCTTTTTATAAGAGGCCATGCAGAAGGGAGGAGACCTGGGATTTACTCGTCTCTTATGGTCTGCCTCATTAACATGATACAAGAAATCCTGTTTCTAAACAGTGATATGTTTATAAAGCACAGAGATTAAAATCCCAACATAACTGTTAATTTTTTTTCCCTAGCATAACTTTTTTGTGGGACATAGCTCAATCTATGTCTCTCTCCCTATTCTATTTGTAAAGGCAAGAAGTCATCCTACCATAGCTGTCCTTAGCTGAGAGACTTCAGCATCATTCTCTTCTGGGATCTCTTCTTTCTCTGTCAGTGTTTCTTGCTCTCTAGGCATTCAGTGGTGTGTGTATGTTGTTGTTGTTATGTGCCATCAAATCGCCTGTGACTCATAGCAACCCTATGTACAACAGCCCTAAAACCTACTCTATTCTGCGCCAATCTTATTGTCTCCAGCACGCCCATCCCGATTACCCTAGTCACTGAATCAATCCATCTCATTGAGGGTCTTCCTCCCCTGCGCTGTCCCTCCACCCTCCCAAGCATGATGTCCCTCTCCAAGGACTGGTCCCGCCTTGCAATATGTCCAAAGTATGTCAGGTGGAGCTTCAGAATCCTTACCTCCAAGGATGAGCCTGGCTTCACCTCTCTAGGATGAATCTGTTTGTTCTCCTAGCAGTCCATGGTATGTATATTCAGTACTTTTCTCCAGCACCACAGCTCACAGGCATCAACTCTCTTTCTATGATCCCTAGTCATTGTAACTGCAAAGACCATTGCTTGGATCAGGCACACCTTAGTCTCCAGACTGACATCATTACTCTTCAGGACTCTGGAGAGGTCTTTGACAGCAGACTTTCCAAATTCAATTTGTCTGTTGGACCCAAGCAAACTAAAGCTGTTAACAATCTCAATCTCTTCACCATCCATCCTGATGCTGCCAGTCGGCCCAGTGATGAGAATGTTTGTTTTCTTGATGTTGAGCTTCAATCCATATTGAAGGCTTCAGTGTGTCTCTTCGCAGCAGATTTCTCTTGTCTTCCTTCTCCACTTTTTTATTATTCTTCCCTATTCTTATGGTTCATTTCCTTTGAACCTGCTTTTGTGTTTCTGGTGCAAACAGGGATAACATTTTCCTTTGAGTAGTGAATTCAGTGTTGCAGTGTTCCAGGTTAGCATGTTGCTGTATTTAAACTGTGTGTGTGTTTCACTAGTTCTGTTAGGGAAAGGTAAATCCATAAAGGTTCCAAAACGTAAATTCTTTCTCTATAGTTTACAAAATAACACTCATCATGAAATGCGTGACTGACGTCTCCTATAAATACATGGGGATAGAAAGTGGCATATAATCCAAATATTTTGGTTCTAATGTGAATGTTCTTTTGGTCAAAGGAAAAAAAATTATTGTATGTTGTGTCATATAAACATTGCACATAGAGCTGTGTGTGTGTAGTGTATGTGGATGTATACACACACATACACAGATAAGGTAAAAGTTGACTAAAATCTGTTTATTAGCAAAAAGTAGAAATAAGTGGAAATGCATTCTAATGGTGCTTTGAAAGAGAATCTAAGTACTTGTATTAGGAGAACATTATCTTTTGGATTGGCAAACCGTTCTATTTAGAATTGTTGACTTTTTGAACTGTGTTGCTGAAGATGTTATCTTGGGCATTTTCCCTTATGAGTTATTCTTCCACATATACTGTTAGGCTGATTTAAAAACTAGGTAGTTGGGTAAGCCACTTAAACTTACAGATAAATAAGGCATGGTAGGATAGAATGAATGTTTTTCCTTCAGTGTAACAAGAGGAACACAGCTGAAACGTGCCCTTCTTTTTTGAGACTACGATGTGTAGTCACTGTGTGTATTAAGTCTGGGTTCTTTTCAGACTTAATTTAATTCCTTCTCTTACTCTTTGGCCTGTGTTTAAGTCAGAAGAGTTGAAAGCAGTGTTGTGAATTTATCCAAGTACAAACCCAGGCTGAAGTGATGAAATACATCATTTTATTTGAGTACATAGATGGTAAATAAATGTTTAAGAAACGTACTTTAAAAAATAACTTATTATTAGGAAACTCTGGGGCCGAGTGAGTAGGAAATTGTACTGCCAACTTAAAAGCAGTTCAGTTCATTGACTTCTATGGGGGGGGGGAAAGGTGGGTATTCTCTTCCTGAAACTTTATAGTCAGAGTCGTTTCCAACTTGACAACAATGACGTTTTTAGTTTGAGGGTTTATCATATTCATCTATTGTTGGCTTGAATTCATCATTTTGGTCAAATACACTTAACATTTTTTTCAGTGACTTATGTTTTGGATATTTAAAATATTTTAAATAAATATTTAAAAAATATTTTATTTTAAAATGGTTTATAAAAGAGTTTGAACGTTTCCATGCTGATTCCTTTCTTTATAGTAAAACAATATTAGGGTGAGGGCAACTTGAAGAATCAGTTCTCAAAATCAATGTATTAGAATTTTGTAAATAAATTAGTATTAAGAAAATAATTAGAAGAAAAAAATACAAAAACTATGTAGTAAAATATATATGTCTTTTAAACACACCACACTTTCTGAGACACTCCCAATATTGTATAAAAGTCTTTTGATGGCTTTGCGTTTATATAGGGAAAATGTACTTGAATTATTTCCTACAAAGGATAATGGCTGAAATACTGCATTTAGAGTCTGGATGAAAATTACATTTGGGACCAATCTTGTCTGTAATTTGTTTGAACACATTAAAAAATGCATAAAATTTTTTCTGTGCTCTTTGCTAAGCAAAGTTTGCAAAGTTTTTTTTCCCCATAAATGACAGGTGATTTCATTTAATCCCGTTATAAATAATACTGCATTTAAGTGCAAAAAGAAATTGAAATTCTATCTATACTAGAATTGTATAGACATCAGTTCAATACATAAGAGATATAGCAACTACACTAATAAAATTGTACATATCTTGTATTAGTAATTGTTGTTTCTTACATATAGTACAGCTTATGTCATAGCAAAAAAAGATGATGGTTTTTAAAAAGCCATTCTTCCACGGGATGTGTATAGTCGAGTGACAAAAATGACTCCTGTTAATGCTGATGGAGAGGAAAAGATGGGAAGCAGGGAGAGGTGAGTTTTGTTTACTGGAGTCTATTTTCTAGCCAAAATGAAGCAGAGCTTGAAATTTCGAAATTGAGTTGTATTTCAAGTGAAAGATGATCTGCCGTTGGTGGAGTGCCGCGTAACTTAGTCAGCTTCCATCTCTTCACAGAGCTCCTTAGAAAGCATTCACAGTCAGTTTTTAGCAGCCTTGGACTCACTGAAGGCATTCTGGGATGCTATGGATGAAATCGATGAGAAGACCTGGGTCCTTGAGCCAGAGAATCCCACCCGGAGCGCCACAGCACGCAGGATTGCACTAGGTAGGAATAGAAAGACTAACGAAGGGATTTTGTGTCCAGTATTGGATTTTATTACTTAAGAAAATTCATTTATAAATGAGTGGACTCTTAGATAATAAGACTTGTGCTTTAATATAATACTATAAAAAATAACTGGAAACTTTTGGGGATTTATTTCAGTACGGCATCTTTCAATGTAAATATTTCAGGTGGGAAGTACAAAATATTGAGGTGTTTCATTATAAAAGGTGATGCTGCTATGGAAGTAGCCTTCAGACAGTGTTTAATTAGATTTTAATTAGCACCAAATGGTGCAGCAGGATATTCAGGAGTTATGTTACTTTTAACAGCAACAGCAGAAAACTATGTTAGAAATAATGATGTTTTCATCTGTGAAACGAGACAGCATTAGTGTGAACAAATCTGGGAACACTTTCTGACAAACCCATGGAGGAGAGGATTAGAAAAAAAAATGAAATGGATCATGGCACAGTCAACAGAAAGCATAGGAATGGAAAATACTTTTTCATATTTTCTTTATCGTAAATATGTGAAATTCCTGAGTAAGAATATATGAAGTCAATTTTCGAGTGAAACCTGTTAAGAGTAGATGCTTAAGCTACATTCTGAGTTTATACTAAAATATTATAACTCTCTAGTTATAAGATAACTATCTATCTTTTCCCCTTCAGCTACTCTAGGTCAGTTGTTAAAAGGCACACGTTTCACAGGATCTTTAGAAATGATCCTGTCTTCTCCAACTGACCCTGCAGGTTTTATACTTTCTACTGAGGCAAACTAGATTATTTGGGCAAGAAAAGTGACACCTTACTTTGACAAGACAAAAGTACAATGGTCCAATAGTTATACAAACAGTATTGTTTCTTTTGCTAGTGGGAAAAAGTTTTAACAGCATTTATCTTGGAATAATTAACCTGTTGGTGATTTTGTGAACAAGTAGACATTAAGAATAGAAATACTCCTTGAAGAATTATAGTAGGTTACTACCTCCATGGACCCATTAAAATAATCCTTCTTAACAGTTTATGATTAACTATCCTTTTATTATATTTTTCAGTGTTCACCTTAAATAGCCTCGTGTTCATTTAATCCTTTTTATATTTACCTCTTAAGTGTTACTTTTTTGCCCCCAAGCATTGGTTTGCTCTCATTGGCCCAAGTTTCCAGCAACTTAAAGATGAGTTAACACAGCCTTTGTCCTTAAGTGAAAATATTTTCTAGAGCTCTTCTTCTTAGTAGAGGAGTAGAAGACATTGTTAAAAAGCTAAAATGGAATCTGTCATCATGTTACCCAAGATTTGGTTAAAAAAGGAGAGTTTCAGGGAGGAAATGAGAAAAGTGCATTTCCATTAGGCATAGTATAATTACTGTCATAAAACAAAATGTGTATGAATGATTGAATAGTTCAAATTACAGTAAAAAATTAAATACAACTTTACAAGTCTTTAATGATGTAATAGCAGGTTTTAAAACTTTCTTGCTTTTATTTTTGGCCTGATTTTTAATAATTTTGTTTTGTTGCCAATCTTGAGCAAAAGGTTTGTTCTACAGTTGAGAATTTACCAAAATATTTTGATCAGAAAACGAAATCTAAATTGATCTGAAATAAACTATGTATTTTCAAAAAAATAGCATTATAATTTTGTATTGCAGTTAACAGTTTCTAAAATCATCTAGTGCTAAGCAGAAATAGCATTTTTTTCAGGTCCTACCAAGTGGGTAGTTTGTTTAATAATAAAATTTTCCTTTTTAAACGTGAACTAAATCCTTCCCATGGCGCAACATAATTCAGATAATGCTTTTTGTAAATGGACCATGGCTCTTCATAAAATTCGTATTTAAGAACATGTGTACTCTTACATGTCCTTGTATTTCCAGTCTAATTAATTTGACCACAGTAGTATGAAAAGCAAGTCATAAAGAGTAATGATCATTACTACTTAAACTTATGACTTCTTATTTTTTTATATTAAAGACCTTTGATTTATTGATTCGATGGAGAAATTTTATGTAAGTTTTACTGTAATAGAATTTTGACTAGAATTCCCATCTAAATGGACTCTTATAATTTATTTGGCCTGTTTTTTTTTTTGTTCAGACTTGGAAATCATGAATCCTTGTGGTTAATTATAGTTTCAAAACGCATCTCTTTAAGTTTTGCTAATTTGAAAGAACTGACTCCTGAACATTTTAATTAATCTTCCTCTTTCATTCTAGGGAATAATGCGTCAGTAAATATAGACGTTGACCCCAGGCACCCCACCATGCCTCCCGAGTGTTACTTTCTAGGAGCTGACCATGGTACGAGGTCTGAGAGTTACAGATTTTTAAAAGAATCATAAAATCCTTGTCTATCACTGCTAAACTTTTAAAAAATATTAGCATTAGTCATTATTTCAGGTGAAGTAACGCCTCATTCTGAGCTTAATACCTTTGTGATTTTTTTTAAATAGTGTGTATCATCTGATTAGTAATTCTGTGCCAAATGTTACTTCTCAAAATGAAAAAGGCAGTCGCTAAATTGCTAACTCGCTCTTTCTTTCTTTTAATATCTAAAGTGATAAAACCCCTGGGAATTAAGCTAAGCAAGAATATACATTTGTGGTACGTATCCTGAACATTATAGTTGTTAATTTTTCTTCATGTTCACAAATGTTATAGCAATACTTTCTCTCCTTTATTCTTCCAGGGATCCAGAAAATACTCCGTTACAAAACTTGAAAGACGTTTTAGAAATTGATTTTCCAGCTCGCAGTATCCTGGAAAAATCCGTGAGTTGTTCAGTCGGTTCTTGGCTAATCCTAATGTTGCATAATGAAAGTGAACTTCCCTTCTTTTGCTTCCCAAGAAAAATGAAGCTGAAAAGGGAATGTCGGAGGTTTATTACAACAGACTTTTAAATTGCAAGCAACAGTTGCCTCAGACAACTTACCAACCTTCGATTGGTGGTTATGTGTTTCCGCGCCCTTGCACCCCCATAATCTTTGCAGCATTACAGTGATCTGTTCTATGCATCTTTATTACTAAGGATAAGGGAAAGGCCGAGAATAGCACATGAGACATGTAGATTTCCTGTACTATTTGCCTAGAGATGACAAAAATAAAGTTCTAATTAATTTGACATATGGGTTTGTAAAGGAGTGCAGTGCAGTGCAGTGTTAAAAAATTAATATGTGTCACTCTATTCCAAAAATAATGAATTTAGAATTGATTTTTGACAGAGCTGCTAACGAAGGTTCTAGACTGTTAAAAGTGGTGGGGATGTTTCTGTGGGTTGGGGATTTTTTTCTACCCCCATTTAGTTACAGAATTTTCAAGCTTAATAATAACTACTACATGTCAAAATACTGTATTTTACAGTTAAATCCTATAGCTAAATAACAGGGATTATAGGTACCATATTAAAACTGTATATCTAAGTTTACTACTTATTTATGATTTATTCTTAGTTATTATTTATTCTTTATTTTACTTCATGTGTTTCAAACTTCATTTTCAAACTCCCCCCCCCCTTTTATTCTCAAGGATTTTACTATGGATTGTGGAATCTGCTATGCTTTCCAACTCGATGGTGCAATTCCTGACCAAGTGTGTGATAATCCCCAGTGTGGACAACCTTTCCATCAGATATGCTTATACGAGGTGAAAACAAGGGAAATTGTGTTGGCAGCTCTGTTTTTAGCCTTAATTAACACAGACAGTGCGCTCACTTGAAATACACAGCACCTTAAATCCAGGTTGTAAACGGCAGGCCCCTCTTTGGCCAGCAAGTCCTTTTACCAGAGTTTTCCAGATGACTGTGTCTTTCTTACTGGTTATTAATGAGTGATTTAGTGCCGAGAAGGGTCCCCAGGCTAGATGCATGAGCTCACTCATTGATGCCTAACAGATCAAGTTGAGGGTGGAGTGGAATCTTTCATGAGTAGCTCAGGTAAGCACACTGTGGGCACATCCAGGTGGAGGTGGTGGTAGTGATGGGAGAGGGAAGGAAAACAGCATTTCTAGAGTAATTCCTTTTCAGCCTTGGTTTAGGGAGAAATTTAGAAAACCCACCTTTGATACTGAGACGAATGTGTTTGCTCTCTGAACATCTTCCAGTACTCTCAGACAGTGTCCTTTTATTTACTGTTTATTATCTGTGTAGCCTTTCGTCTTTGCTGTCTATCATTCACACACACACTCTCACACTTTCTCTCTCTCTCTCGTGATTGTCCTGGTGCACATTTGATATATGATCAGTGTTGTTGAGTGCCGTCGAGTCATAGGCCACTCATAGTGACCCTATAAAGAAAAGTGTTGACACTTGCATGCGTGACTTTGATCCTTTCTCCTGGTTCATAGGGTTTCCAGACGCAAGCTATTATGGAAGTGGATGCCACTCCTGCTTCTAAATGATCAATTATAGGTGGATTAAACCCCCTCACATTCAGTTTTCAGTATCTATTTTTGTGATTCCTGTTAGAGCAAAGGAGATTTAGACACAGAAATACAATTTATTTAAAGTCATGAAGTAGCAAGTCCACTTAGAGAATCCCCTAAAGGGATCCCGTGCTTTTATTTTTAATGACGATTTATATGCTTTTTTAAGATGGGCTGCTATCGATCAAAGTGTAACTCATTTTTGGTGATCACAAGACTAGAATTAAGATGTAATTTGTAAAGAGCTGTGGTATTTTTATAATTGTTAGATGCTGTCGAGTCAGAAGCAATGCGTAGCTGACCTTTGAAGGTGTTTTGAAGGCTGTAAATTGCACAGGAGGGAGAATGCCTTTCTCCCACCAGGCAGCTGGTAGATATGAACCATCTGCCTTTGGGTTGGCAGTGTAGCTCTTTATTGCTAGGCCACCAACGTAGCAGGTTCTTAATACCTGTTTAATGGATTTAGGGAAAGTTGTTAAATCTCCTATGTAAAGAATGCAGCATGAAGACTGGAAGACGACTCAACAACAATGAAGGTTATGAAAATGACGTGCAAAGTGAAAACAACTTGAAGCACTTGCTGAACAATGATTATAACCTTTAGTACATATGATTTACACGTCAACATGCAGAACACAAAAATCTTCACCCTCTGACCATAGCAAAGTAGTGATAGATGGAGAAAAGATTGCAGTTGTCAGTGTTTTCATTTTGCTGGGATCTACAATCACCACTCACTGAAGCAAACTATCTAAAGACACACTGCATTTGGGCAGATCTCCTGTCAAGAGTTCTTTAAAGTGCCGAAGAGCAAGGATGTCAGTTTAAAGACTAAGGTGCATCTCTTTCAACGTATAGTATCTTCAGTTGTGTGTATGCATCTGAAAGTTGAACAAGTAAGACAGACTGAAAAGAACTGATGCTTTTGAATTACGGTGTCGGTGAAGAGTACTGAGTGTTTCCACAGACTGTCAAAAGAACAAACAAATCTAACTTGGATGAAATGCAAGCAGGGTGCTCCTTGGAGCAAAGATGGTTGCTTGAACTTCATTTCACATACCTGGGGCAAGCTGTCAGAAGTCATTCCTTCAGACACCATGCTGTGGAAAGAAAGCATGTTTCTTTTGGTTTCAGGAGAGCTCATAATAATTTGATTAAACTCCAGAAGTTGACCCCACTTGAATCCTCTGCTGTTTTTTGTTTGTTACTCTGTATCTTAATAGTTTGGTACTGGCTGAGGAAATGCAGTCCCATATTGATACAAAACAGTCTCTAAGTACTATTTCCCTGTCTTAGAAGTAGGTTAAATTTCAGAGTATTAAAGATACAGTGTATTCAGAAAGAAATGGTACTTGGGATTACCCATAGTATGTGTAATCATCCTGCAGCTGTATTTTTTTCCTTTTTAACTTTTCTTTCCAGTGGTTGAGAGGACTGCTGACCAGTAGACAGAGCTTCAACATCATATTTGGTGAATGTCCGTATTGTAGTAAGGTAAGAGGGCTGGCCTTTATACTTGACAGACCATGCCGACCATTTGCATAGTGAGTTTTAGAAAATAGGCCCCTATTAAGAATGTCAGCATAACTGAAAACTTTCACAGCTTCTGTTACTATGTATTGAAAAGGCAGGAGAGCTCCCATTATTCTACAGTTGTCTTAATCAATAACCTAACTTTAAAATTTCCCTTTTGATCAAGAGACATCAGCCTGGGCCTGATCTTCTAGGTGAGCTGAAGTTTCACGAAAGTATTTTCCAAACTGTACCACAGACAGCATTTCTAGGATAAAGCAGCTTTATTTTTAGAGTTCTAAAAAAGTGCCTTGTTAAAATATCTTTTCTCTTTTTAAAAGCCAATTACATTGAAAATGGCTGGGAGGAAACCCTGAAATAAGAACGCAACACTTTTGTGAAGACATGGGATCTTTAAAAAGTACGAAGAGGGTTTTTATTTGGTGTCTTCAGAGAAAATACAAGGCAAGAAATATCAACACCAGAAGAAAAAGTATGAGCGAGCCGTAAACATACACACTTCTCTTCATCTCTTCGCTGAGAGTGAAGTGGGAACCTTCCGCCTCCATGGCTACCTCTCCAGTAGTGTCAGTGTCCGTGTCATACTTCCACCAATCTAGAGGTCGTGATTTGTTTATATCTGGGCGGGTAAAATCTTGATGACGTTTGTAAGATGAATTTGAGGATTGTATACAGCTGTATTTTTGCAGATAATTTTGTATTTCGCTTACATATTCTTGAGGCATATGCGATGGTTGTCTTCTCCTTGTACTATCCTAGGGGAGAAAATAAATGTGAAATTTGTTAAGATTGAGTTATCCAAGTATTTATTTACAGAGAGCTCTGTTGCCCTAATGGTTAGAAAGTTATGCTATGAGGCCAAACGTGGGTGGTTTTAATCTGCGGTACTCAGGCTTGGTTTCAATTGTTTTTAGCCAAACATTCTTCTAAGTGGTATAGCATTGGTCTGTCCATTTGTTGTACAGAGGTAACTTGTGGTTTCTGTGATGCTAAACACTGTGACACTGATATGCCAAATGTGATAATGGTTACCCAAGGTGGACAGTGTTTGGTGGAGCTCCCCGGTTAAAATAAGCTTGGAAGCAGGAGTGGCATCCACTTCCCATATAGCTTGCCTCTGGAAACCCTATGAACGTTGAGAAAGGTTGAAAGTTAAACTAGTGTTCAAGTCTGTTGTTCCTAGGGTCGCTATGAGTCATCTATGACTCGACAGCCAGCACGCAACATAAATGATAAAGAAGGAATTGGGGAGGTGAGTGCCCAGGGCTGACCTCTCACTCACTCCAGGGCCCTTGCTCCCCAGAAGTGTGCTGGTAAACCCCGATCCTAAGACACCAGTGAGACTTTGAACTGATGCTTCATCTGATCACCGAGGAGTGGGCCCACTCCCACCACGGAGGGATCGATCCCATCTCCCTGCCCCCCAAGGAGGAAGCAGCTGCACGTGGATGACTCTCGGAGACGAGTGCCCGTGGAAATGTGTAAACTCTGCAGCTCTATCCGCAGTATCATGAAAGTAAGGATCCTGTCTGTATCCAGCAAAACTGTCCATCAAATAGGAAAGAAATCACTTATAGAACAAGAATGAAGAATGAACCTACAAGAAATCTCAGGGAAATATTCAGAGAGGCACCAACAAAATAAGGAACTTTGCAAAGTGACAATAGTAAAGCTGGGCCTATGGATAATGAGGCTGACTGTGAGTGGCTTAAACACACCAAGTAAGAGAAAAGGAGTGTCAGACTGGATGAAAAAGTCTATAGGAGCCACATCTAAGAAGCTAGGAGAAAGACAGATTAAAAATCAAAGGGTGGGAAAAGAAGTATACCAATCAAATGACATCCATAACTAATCTGATAAGAGACAAGGACACTGGATATTACTCGAAGGTTCAGTAGATCATTACCTGAGTTAATATCTACACACCAAATGACAGACCCGCAAGATAAAGACAACTACAATAGTAGAAGACTTTAACACACCACTCAACAAAACCACAAAAACCTGAACTATACAATTAGCCACTCAACCTGAAAGACTTAAATTTTCTAGAACTAACATACATGAAAACACCAAGCAAGCCTCAACAAATTCAAATATAAAAAGGATAAAAATCCACCCACATGGAAACTAAATAACACCTTATTTTATAATGACTGGATTATGGAAGAAATAAAAACTTATCAAAATGAATGAAAATACAGCATATCAAACCCTCTGGAATATATATAAAGGAGTAAAGCAACAACTTAATCTAACATCTATAATGAGTAAAAAAGAACAAGCTTAAGCCCACAATCTCAAGGAGAAAGAAAAATATAAAGTGCAGAAAATAAATGGACAAGAAAACCATCAACAAAACCAGGAGCTGAGTCTTTGAAAGGATCAATAAAATAGACAAACTAAAGACAAGACTCAGAACCAGCTGAGAAAAACGGAATATACAAGAAAATGGACAAACTCCTAGAAACACCCTACTCAAATTGTCACAGAAGAGTAACACTTGAACAGGCCTATCACAAAAGAAGAAATTGAGCACATCATAAACTTCCATTCAGAAAGTCTCACCCCAGATGGTTTCACCGGTGAATTCTACCAAACATTCCAGGTGACCTGCCACCGGTTCTGCTTATTTTTAAAGTAGAAAAAGAACCCGCACAGAGTATTCTAAGACACAAACAGACCTTACCAAAGGAAAACTACAGACCAATACCCCTCATGGGCCTGCATACATAGCCAAAATGTGCAACCTGTAAGGATGAGACTGATAGATGGGACCTTTTAAAAATCGAATACCTGTGTGCATCAAACTTGTGGTGTTTTTTGTTTTTGTTTTCTTTTAAAAAAAAGGTAAAAAAGAAAGTCCACAGATGGGGGGAGGTGGGAATTGGCAACACTTCAGATAAGGCAGTGCTTCTTCCATAAGATAAAGACAGATAAACCAACGAAAAAATGGGCATGGAAAAGGCAAAGACTCTTCCCCAAAGGGGTTGATATTCAGATGTCCAACACATGGAGGCATGTTCAAAATCACTAACAATCAAATGTCATTTCATCCCAACAGCAATAGCAAAGTTGTAACAATAAGGATAGCAAAGAGTAAACAGGTGAGACTGTGGAGAGACTGGTGCACACTGTGGAATTGTAAAATGGTACAACTACCACGGAAGGCTGTCTGGCTTTTCCTCAAAAAATGATGGATATAAAAATGCCATATTATCTAGCTTTTCTACTGCTAGGAATATATACCCCAAGGAAATGAAAATAGACACAAACACCTTTGTTCTTAGCAGTGTTATTCACAATAGCAAGAAAAATAGTAACAGCCCAAATGCCCATCAACAACAAATGAATAGCGAAACTGGTAAATTCACACACAGAGGAGTACTATGCAGCACTAAAGAACACTGACGTACTCATAAAATACCACACAGCAAAAGAGAGTCAAAGTCTGCTATGACTCTCCCATGTTTGAGTGAAATAACTTGTTCACAAAAGGACAATTACCAAGAAGGTGTACTGCAATCCCAGAGGTGCACGGTTCAAATCCACCAGATGCTCTGCTGGAGAAGGAGGAACAATCTCCTCCTGTACCAGTCAGATCTGATCTGACAGTACACACACACACAAAGTAATAAAAAACCGGACAATTACCATGTAACCACTACTGTCACAATAAGATAACTGAGAAAGATAGGTATATATGTTGGGAAGAGGATAGGACAAGGGTGACTCAAGGAGGAACAAGGTGGAAAAATCTCTAGTATAGCAGAGGTTAGTAGGCAGATGGGGTGAAGAAACAGGCAAGAGGCCCAGGGAATTTGAGACAAGGTATTAATATTCATTAAGATAATAGTAACTAAAAGTATATATATGTGAATGATGGTATGCAAACCACAAACAATTTCTAAGTAAAATGTTACATATAGCATTGTTATGTGCCGTCTGTCGAGTCGTTTGCGACTCATAGCGACCCTATGCAC